CAAGTAAGTTAAAAAGAAAAATCAGAAGAAAACATGAAAAGATCTTAATAGAAGATCCAATTTCAACAAAAAAAAAAAAAGAGGGAAAAATCGAAATCTAAGAACACTTCATCGAAAACAAGTGAATAATAAACACACGAACACAAATACAGACAGAAAAACCGATAAGACTAAGAACACTAAAAAAAAGGGATTTTTAAATCAGAAAACCAATAAAAAGAGAGAGAAAGAGAAAACAACTCACGTATATAAAAAGAACCTTCTGAAGTTGAATCAAGTAAATCTCGAGACGAAGAAAAGAAAACTCTAGAGAGACAGAGCCGATTACTTCTTGCTTCTTCTTTTCTCTCTCTGTGGGAAAACAAAGATGAAAAGAGAGATGAATGGATAGACAATGGGTGGGTGTGTCCGCAAAGGGACATGTAGGCTTGTGACATAATCTCATCATCAAAAAGTGCCTAATTTTCTTTAATTATTATTTTATTTTTTAGAACAAAGGCGAAAAAGTGCGAAAAGTTTTGTCTAGGGTATAGTGGGTCCCTGTCATATTTATATTGAAAGCAAGAAACTTGTATGGACCCCACTGATATTTTTAAAAGAAAAGTAAAAACAGATATTAGAGAACAAAAGTTTTTTTGTTTACTCACGCGCTCGCGAGTGTAGACTTAGGTACTCGCGATGTTGAAGGCAACAAGTGGCTCTTTTTGTGCCATAATGGGATTCGCATTTATGATGCTTTTAGACGAATCAGAAAGAGTCTCTCAGATATATTATGGGTTTTTTTTTTGCTTACCCATAATTAATTTATAAATCTTTTCTTTGACCTTTACAAAACCAAAATATCTCCTCTTTTTATGTTTTTGGTAGGCGTAAGAGAAAAAAAATATCTTTTGGCCAAGAAAAGATATTATTATTATTTGATGGAAAAGAAAGGAAAAACCAAAAAATATCTGGCAAGTTAGATACGTCTGTGAGTCTGTGTAACGATGAGACCCCAAAGATATTTATGTATGTAACAGTACCCAATATAATAATGGACTCTTTTTTTTTTTTTTTTCAGCACATTAAAATATTGGATTATAATGAATGTACCAATAAGGCCACCTCGAAATATATCAATCAATGATACATGTTTTTTGTCCTTTTTCTTTCCTTATTGAAGTGTCTTTTTGGGTATTTTCCTGTTGTTATCCAGAACTGGGATAGTAAGATCTGTAAATATCTTTGAATCGAAAATCTCTAGTCTCATCTCCATCCCTGTGCTCGAAATAAGACTCTTTTTCTTTTGAGTAATATCGAATTTGATAAATTAGCATACGAGGTTTAGTTATTAAAAGAAACAAAAGGAAGTGCTATACAAATACAAGTGTTTTAACCACATCCTAGAGTTGG